ATATATATATATATATATATATATACGTATAAATTTTTATAAATTTTCATAATTGATCAAACAGTATTAATAATAAAATGATGCCGTTTTATGAATCTGATAAATTGACAGAGGATAAATCATTTAATGAGTAAGATCAAAATGTTTTTCAATTTTGTTTAAATACAAAAATTATTTAAAATCAATTTCTAGATATTTACTTAAATATTCTATTATATTTTGTTATTTTATGATATATTTTTTCTAATATGACAATTGCACATCACGTGTATACTTTTTAAAACAATTGTATATTATTAAAAATTAAATAGCTTTTAATATTTTATATATATATTTATATTTATGTAAATATTTATTGATTTTATAAATTTATAAAATATATTCATGTATTTTAATATAAATAAATATTAAAATAAATGAAAAAATGAATAAATATATTTATATATTTTTTTTATAAAAATGTTGAAATTTTATTTTTAGTGGGGAATTTACATTATATGTAAATAATTTACCTACAGAATTAAATAAGGTATGTATATGTGTTTAATTAATTTTTTGTATTTAATTATTTTTTAAATTATATTATTTTTATCATATTATTAATATATTTGATTATTTATAAATTATTTAAATCATTAACAATTGTTTTTTATTTATTAATGTATTTTATTTTTTAATATAAAATATGTAATAAATAATTATATAATAATATTAACATCTTTTAACATTGTATTTAAAAATAATAAATATAGAAGGTTATATCTTATATTTATGATTTTTTAGCATGGATTATTACAAATTTTCAATCACTATGGACAAATCAAAGAATATTTTTATCGTCCAAATACTAATTGGGCTTATATTAGTTATAATACATATCGAGAAGCAGAAAATGCTATAAAAGATTTACATAATATACCACCATTACATTTAAAAGTATCATTTGCCAAAGAAAAAGATTTTAATGGAATTCAATCTATAAAAACATCTACTTCTAAAAACATTGAAGAAGAAAGTGAAAATGTTAGTTCAATACCTATTACATTAATAGATAAGGAATTGTAAGTGAATATTTATATATATTCATATTATATACATATGTTCAATAATATAAGAGATGAATATTTATGAATATATATAGGATACAAACAAGAGGACGAGGCAAACCCTTAGATATATTTAAAAAAGTTCAACCAAATCCAGGATTACCAAAGTACAGTTATACACCAGATAATGATTTATTGTATCCATATCCTTCTGAACCATATACATATAATCCATATGAAAATGCAGAACCTTATACAAATACAAATACATTATGGACAAGGTATTATTCAATAAAAAATATATATATACAAATTTAATAATAAATTTAAATTACATATAAAATATACAAATACAAATTTTTATTAAAAACATTTTAGAGGACAATTAACCATTACTCCAGATGGTAAGAGACATGTTTCACTTGGTCGAGGCTATACATTATATGAAATTCCAGAGTCTAATCCTGAAATTCATAATCATATTAACAAAGTATATGAAAAACGTAACTCTGTAAGTGAATAATATTAAAAAAATAAAATAAAATACTTTTTAATAACAATTTAATAATATATATTTAATAGGGTTTATATGAATATGGAAAAGATATGTTACAAAATGCAATTGGAACATGTAAAATATGTTTGAAAAAGACAAAATATACTTGTGAAAAATGCCACACATTTTATTGTAGTAGAAATTGTCAAGTAGCTGATTGGTCACAACATAAAATAGAATGTCAAGCTATACCGTATGTATTTTTTCATAATATCATATAATAACTAAAAAATATAAAAATTTTTTATTTTTTTTGCTTTTTAAAATTTTATATTTTTCATACTTTATTTTTAGAGCTTTAGTAACATCTATACATTCTATGTCTACTTTTCAATCAAATAATGAAGAACAAATATCTACTAGAAATATTTCTCATATTCAAATACCTCTACGACGACCAAAAAAATTAATAAAGACAATAACAAATTCGAATGAAATTTCTAATACTGTTTCAGAAAATAAAGATATGAGTAATATATCTGGTACAATTAATAACAATAATGAAAGTAATAATGATTCAAAACATTTAAATACAAAAACTATTAATCAACAAAAGACATATAAGAAAAATGAAATAATCATTGAAGAAAATAATTCTTTTTTATGTAAACAATCAATTAATGAAATTTTTAACAATAATATTAAAAACATAGAAGAAATAGATAGTCAAGAAAATGTTAGAAAATGGCAAAAATTTAATGAAAACGATGTAACAATGATGGAAAATGAAATATCTTTTTATAACAATACATTTCTATCCAAAACAAAATTTACTGATGTAACAATAATAATGAAGGAAGCTTGTGAATATTGGGTCCAAAAAGTAGAAGATCAGAATTCTATTTCTCAATTAATGACTGAATTACAAAAAGAAGCACAAAATGCACAAAAAGTAGAACCAGTAATCGGAAATATTTGTGCTATAGAATATGAAGGTGTATGGCATAGAGCTGTAGTTACATGTTTAAATCCCGTAAAAGTACATTATATAGATTATGGTAATGAAGAAATTGCTCAAACAAATGATTTTCGTAAAATTGATAAATATAGGAACATTCCAAAATTTTGTACTAAAATTCGATTATCACAAAAAGCATATGAAAAATATAAAAATCTCAAATTTGAGGATGTAATAAGTGTGAAAATGATATCTATTGATGCTAATAAAATTATTAATGTCGAAGTTCAAAATGAAAACGATATTTCAAGTTTAGAAATAATTAAAAAAAACAGCAATCCAAAAATGGACATTTCAACCAATGTAAAAATTGATAAAAATGTGGTTTCTTCAAAAATAGTAACTGATAATAAACTATCAAGTTCTTTGAACAAAGTAAAAAGTATAGTAAATGCAGTATCTGTTGGAGAAAATGGTATTCTAGAAATTCATGCAGAAATAAAAAATGATACTTATAGTATTACATTACTGCCTAATAATGCAATACCTGATTATGAAAAATTATTAACAGAATTACCTATAATGTGTGCAAAAGCAGAATATTCAAATCATAAGTATATATTAATAGTATATTATGCTATTAGAAATTTTTTTATTTATAAGATTTATAAAATTTTTAATTTTTCTAGACCAAATGTGGGAGATTTAATATGTGGTCAAAGATTTGATGGTGATTGGCTTAGAGGTTATATTTTATCTCTTATACCACCTTTAAAAATGGTTATAATAGATGAAGCTAGAATAATGCCAATTAATAAAACTGTAACATGTGATAAAACTTTTTCAAATATTTATGCATTTGGTGCAATATGTGAAATAATTGATACTAAACATAAATTTAAGGTCTAAAATATTTATTATGTAATATATATATAATATTATTTCTAATTATAATTATAATTTATAGGAAGGTGATCATTATGAATTTAAAGTGATAGCACAAAACATTAATGAACAACATGAAATTGAAATAGAAATTTCGAATATTTCGAAAAGTCAAGATAAATTAAAAGCTATTGTAAAACCTTGGATACCAATGCCTGAACAAAAAGGATTACAATATGCTGAATTGAAGAGTGGATCTGAGGTATATAATTTTTAGTTTTAATTTTAATAAAAAAATAGTTATTATTAGTTATATTTAATATCTATTTTTAACTTAAATACAGAAGATTTTTATGGATAATAGGAAAATAGTTCTTTATAAAAGATGAATTTTTTAGGTATGCCTTACTTCTTATCGAAGTCACAATGTTTTATATGCTCGTTCTTTAGATACTGCAGAATTAGAACATTATAATTATGTTATGCAAAATATTGCAAAATGCGCTCAAACATGTATGTATGATACTGAATAATATGATAGAAAGTAAATATTTAATATAAAATTATTTTTTTTTTATAATAGCTCCATTTTTTAAAAAACCGCCAGTTGTAGGAGAAATGGTAATTGCTAAATTTGCCGATGAAAATTATTATCGTGCAATTGTTACTAAAGTACAGGACAATGAAATTGTAATTTCATATATTGATTTTGGTAATACAGAAGTTACCAATATAAAAAAACTTAAAATTTTATCTGACAATTTAAAACAGGTATGTCATTATATTATAGTTATAATTATGATAGAATATAATAAAGAATTCTAATATCTAATATTTTTAAAGCTTCGATCTTGTACAACAAAGATTGTCTTAAAAGATGTTCCTATAGATATTCCTATGACAAAAGAAGTAAGTGATTATCTAAATTATTTAACAGGAACTGAAGTTCCTTTATTATGTACATTTGATGGTATACCTTCCAAAGATGGTGTATATCTTAAACTTCATAATGGAGAAAATGTTAATAAAGTAATAAGTGAATTACTTGTACCTACATTAAAAAAAATTGAAGAAGGTAATTATTAAAAATTAAATGTTTTCATCAAATAACAATATTAATAATATTGATTTTTTTTTTATAGACAAAACATGTTATATGGCGGGTGATTTAAGTACTATTGACTTGGGAAATATTGGTGATACTGTTGAAGCACTTGTATTATATCCTATTGATGACAGTTATAAATATGCAATGTGTCCTTTAGATTATGATCTAATGACTCATGTTTTTGATATAATGCCAAAAAAGGTAACTTTTCAATAAGATTTTATTACGAACGTATAACATATTTTTGTTATTTAATATTTTTAAAGATGACTGAATATTGTGAAGCAAATGATTACTATATTCCTCGTGATACTGAACTTTGTCTTGCTTTTTATGATGGTGGATGGTATCGTGCCATATGTATAAGTCGTAGCTATACTCCTACAACAAGTGCTGTATTTTTTGTTGATTTTGGAAATACTGAATTTATTGATCATAAAGATATACGACTTATGCCAAAAGATTTTATGAGTCCTCATGCACTTGCAAATATTTGTAATATTATTAGTAAGTAATATATTATTTTATTATAATATATTTGAATCAATATGGGCATTATAAATTGTAATATGATTTTATAGATGTTGCAGCTATTAATGACAATGGACAATATTCTACCGAAATAGAAGAAAGAATCAAAGAATTAGTTGTTCCTGATAATTGTATTAAAATAAAAATTATTGATCATGATTTGGAATCTGGAATATACAATGTGGAATTACCATTTATTCGAGATAAATTAATTGAAGAGAATTTGATATCAGCTTAAAAAAAGATTAGCTCTAAAATATTTAAAATTAAAATTATTAAAATATTTTTAAATATAATAGTTTATTAAATATTTTTGTAAAAATATTTTTATATCTTTATATGCTGTTCTACATTTTATTATTACTAAACTAAGTTTCATTTAATATTCCAAAAATTTATTAATCAGTAATTATAGCTTGTTATTTAATTGCTGTATAAGATTGAAAGATTTTTTTGAATATTATTTTATATTTTGTTATCTTTTATTTTATTTCAATAGACTATTGTCAATGAGAGAATTTCTTCAAAAAATGATTTTTGCGACTTGAAAGATGTTAAAAAATATATTTTATATTTTGTATACAATTTATAATAAATATAAAATAAAAATTTTTTTCTTAATTAATTATAATAATTAATATTAGTAAAATTAAATTTATTATTAATCATTATTTTTTTTAATAAAAATTGTATATTATTATTTTAATTGTCATTTCTAATGAGTTTAATGGTCTATTTAAATTATTATTATTATATCGATTTTTTGAACATTAACATTTCTAACCTCTCTTACAATCATTTGACTAACCTTCCTTGATGTATCTATTCAGATGACAGATCGCTATAAGCAACTCTGATTTAAATAATACGAGGCTTCCATACAATAGAAATAATAAATAATGAATGTTCAAATAAGACATCCATATGAAGGTTTATTACATAAATATACTAATGCCATGAAAGGATGGCAATATCGTTGGTTTATACTTAGACCAGAAACTGGTGAATTACATTATTTTCTTAGTGAATCTGAAAAAAATCAACGACCACGATGTTCAATATATTTAGCTGGTGCAGTGATTGCACCAAGTGATGAAGATTCTAATACCTTCACTGTCAATTCTGCTACAGGTATTTGAAATATATCAAGTAATATTATTAGGTTACAAATTCAAATGATATAGCATTTATATTTTAATATAGGTGATATGATAAAATTAAGAGCAACAGATGCACGAGCTCGTCAAGAATGGGTTGACAAACTGCGAGCTGTTACAGAAATGTATACTAGAGCAATAGCTAGTAGTCATCCTCCTTTACCTCCAAGAGAACATTCTACCAATTCCAATAGAAATCCAGTTGCTAAACTAGAAGTTTTAGATGCATTTGCTAATTGTCAAGAACAATTACGCAAAGTAGAAAAACATAATCTTGCATTAGCACAAACTATTGAGAACTCAAGTTTAAACTTAGATCCTGATTTATTAGTTCTTAAAGCAACTGCACATACTACTTTACACACATTAAATCAATGTCTCAATATCTTATACCAATAATTTATTAGAAGTTTTAATACCATTGATCAAAGACAGACAAAAATTTTTTTATCTTTCATTATTAAAATGTATTTAATGCATTTTAATTAATTTTTATAGGATATATTTTAAATTTGTTACTGACAATCCAGCTATATGATCTTCCAATCAGTGCTAAAAAACAATTTGCCTTCTTATTAAATATTAAATATTAATTAATAATTAAAAATAAAAAAGATTACTATGTTTATAAGACTTTTAAATATAAGATCTTTTTATGTTAAAGATTGTTTCAAATCTTTAAATAAAAAGGAATTGCAATATATATATATACACATAAATATAAATTGAAAATGAGGCTAGATTCGGATAAATATTTGTGATTATTAACATATTAATAAAAATATAAATATATATGTATAATATAATTATTACTATTAAAGCATTTATTATTAAACATAAATGCTTCAATAAAGATAATGTTTATGAAGTTTAAGATATTTTTTCAATTCAAATTTATATTAACGTTGACGAGATAAAAGAAAAAGTTGAAGCTACAATTTCCTTAAAAAAATAAATGTCAAGGATACGAAATTAGGTGAAGGTAAACAAGCAAGTATTTTATCTTAGAGACAGGCTCGATCAGTTTCGTTATTACGTGGTTCTCGTAAGGATCATAATATTTATATATTTGATATACAAATTTTATTTAATGTAGTTAATAAAATAACTATGATAACAAATCGAAATTTACAAAATAATAATAAGTTTTAGATTTCTCTTTAAAAAATTATTTTTGTGCTTTAAATTTATAATCATATTTAATGATCATTCAAAAGTGAGTTGAAATTAAAAAAATTTGAAAAAAAAATAAAATAATCCTGAAAGAACTATGTCTGTTGCGTATACCTCAAAATTTTTAACTGAAGCTGCAGGTGTTAAGATTTATATGACAGAAGAACGTACATCAATTGATACAATTACAGGAAAAATTTGTATAATATTAGAAAATATAAAAGAAGCTAAAGCACTTGGTAAATCTTGCGGATTTCATTTAACGAAATCAAAGTGGGATCCTTATCCGTGGATAAATCATATCGAAGTTAATAGTCTTGCCGATATAGCAGGGCTTAGGTAAGAATAAAAAAAATGGTAAAATAAATATATAAAATTTAAAAATTTAAAATTGTTTATTGCCGCGTTTTTTAGAGTTGGCGATTGTTTAATTAGTATTGATGGAAAAGATTTATTAGGATTAAAAATAAAACAAATAGCGGGATTGGTCCATCATTATCAAGAATGTAATTTAAAATTGTCTATTTGGAGATTTATTGAAGAAGAAAAAGAAAAAGAGACAGGTATAGCTATAAAAGGACCATTACCAGAAGTAGCTTGCAAACTTGCAAATGCAGTAGCTGGAGTGGTGTGTAATTTAATATTGAAAATTTTTAAAAATATTTTTAAATATATATTACAATATTTTATAAAAATAATTATTATATTTGTTTAGATACGAGTTTTAGAATGTCCAATTTGTCTGGAAAGTTCATTATCTCCAGTCTCTCAATGCGTTTACGGTCATATCATTTGTGTTGAATGTAGATCAAGGACATCTCGTTGTCCAATTTGTAGAGTTAAATTAGGTCAAGGGAGATGTTTGCTTGCGGACAAACTTAATAAAATATTTCGGGATATTTTTGATATTAAAGATAATTTATGTAATAAAGCAGAATGTCATACAAAAAATCTTCGAGATCGTCTTTTTGGAAAAAATAAAAAGAAAGAATTAACGCAAGTAGTAGAAAAAACTAATAGTATAAATTCGAAAACATGTCAACTATTGTTAACTAAATTATTTCGTGGTGGATTGGAAAAAGCTGCTTCAGCAGATAATTTAACAGTAGTTTCTAATGAAAAATCAAATGCAATCGTTGCATCTATAAATCTAAATATTGACGAACGTTTAAATTTATATGATCGAACGAAATCTGCAAGTACTGGAGAATTATCAAAAGAAACAATAAAGAACGTTGATAATAATCATTTGCAAATGAATGCACCAAGTATATCAGTATCAAGTAGTAATAGTTTAATGTCCAATATATCTCCTACACTAGTTTGGGGAGGTTCTATAAATTCTATATCCTGTACTCAAATAATTTGTCCGCTTTTAAAGCAAAGTGGATGTAAAAATATTATTACATCTGATGCAGTATTAGAACATTTGAGTGAAATTCATGAAGTACCACAAGTTCATTTTTATTCTATTTGTGCAAAACTTCCAATACCTCTTCCATTTGGTTCAGAAGCTGTTTATATATTACATTATGGTGAAGATCTTTTTTTCTTTCAGGTATATTTACTGATTTTATTAAATTTATTTATTATTATTTATTTATTATATATTAAAAATGTTTTGAATATATAGTGTGAAGACGAAATTGTTTGGATTACTAGTACAATAGGAAGAAAAACATCATGGGAATGGATCTTATATGGTCAAGGAGAAAATGGTACTGAAATAAAAATACGCAGAAATGTTGCTAGTCTTATAAATCCTTTAGTATTATCATCACAGCATACTGCACCATTGCCAAATGCTTTGTTATTACACACATTAAACATTCAATTAATAGAATGTCTCTCACATGAGCAATTAGAGATATAAAAAATATAATTTTAAAAAAGTAATAAAATTGTTCATTTTTATTGATAAAAATTAACAAGTACATTATATTCTAGTATAAAAATTTGACATAATATCACAATGTTAATATAAGAATATTTATGTAAATAATATTAACATTTATATGTAATAAAAGAGTATATATAGTCTTGTATTAAGATCAATATTTAGTAAAATGAAGTTAGTAAAATATGTATTATTATTATAACATATACAAATAGATAATATATGAATTTTTTGATTTTTAAAATATATATGCGAAAGAATTTAAAATTTATATAAATATATACTATGGTGTTTTATGTAATATATCATCCATATATGGTTTGAAAAATTCAAGTTGTCCAGTTTTGATTGCTTGACCTGCCATAATATCATATGCATATTTTAATACAGCCAAATAGTTTTCTTTCCCAACAATACTTAATTGAACATTGAATACATGAGTATCACAGGAAGGCATTATTTTCTTTGTAACTGGCATACAAAGCATTCTTTTTTTTATATCAGGTTGTACATCTGTCACTTCAGCTTCTTCTTTTTTTTTATCTCTTTTGGGACAACTACAAACTCTAACAGGAAGTCTTCTTCGACCTAAAATTCTTTTATTACGATCTTCCAAAGTAAAAATTAATTCTGTTGGTCTACGATTCATGCCAGATGGACAACTGTTTTTACATAAAAATTTAAAACATACTGGAACATATTGTGATCCAGGTTGTGGCCTATTAAGAGGTATTATTATAGATAAATGTTCATTTCTTTCTTCATACATGGTAAGATGATGTGTACATCTAACAACATGTTTAATTACTCTGGGATCCACATCTCTATTACTTGGATTATTTGGTGCCATGTGATTATGACATCTTCTAACTGGATCACTAGCATATTGATCTAAACTAAAAACCATGGCAGTACGTAAAAGAAAACCATCCTCAGGTGGTTCCCATTTAACGCGTAGTGGCAGTGTTTCTTCCATGACAATAAACACTTTTTTTAATGTTTGAGAATACTAGATAAAATAAATAGAATTAAATATACATTACATATTAAATTTTTACATACATGATTAATAATATTTCAATTATATACTTACAATCCAATGTTTACTAGAATCTTGATTAACTAATAAAATCTGAAAATTATGACGACCTGGAAATTCTTCTCTTACTGGAATAGGAGGATCAAGTTCTTGAAAATATTCTTCTTCCTCTTCATCTTTCATTTGTTTTTCTTCTTCTATATATTGTTGTGTTAAATCATATTTTTCTTCCATTTTATCTTCCGTTATACTTTGAAACCAAAATGTGGGTACAAATCCACTAAATCAAATAATATATAATGATATATATAATATTTAATATAAAGAAAACTAAACTAGTGAAG